TTGGGGGGGGGGGGGGAGGGGGCTGAAGGGCGGCCACCTCAAGCTGGGGGGGGCTGGGGGGGCTGGGTTGGGAGCCCCAGGACGGGGGCCAGGCCGACCAGGCAGGGGCCAGGGGGGGGGAGTCAAAGGCCACGAGTTTTGATCAAAAGCCACGAGTAAGCCACGAGTTTTGATCACGAGTTTTGATCAAAAGCCACGAGTTTTGATCAAAAGCCACGAGTTTTGATCAAAACCACGAAGACTTTAATGGTAGAGAGGTTTAGGGTTTAGGGATTAGGGTTTGGGGTTTGGGGCTTAGGGTTTAGGGAAGGGGGCTGAGGAGTTGTTCAAGAGGGCTTTTTTTGCGGCGACTGAATGGAAAACGATGTTGGGGGATGGTCTTGTGTTATTCTCGGGCAGGACTATAAGGGAGTATCGGAGCAGTGGTTCATCCATCAGACTACATAACCCTCACAGGCCCTAGACCAAACCCCGTAAGAACCCTTGCAGAACCTCATGATATGAACCCCTGAAAACCCGCGACGGTTTCGGTAATTCCCAATTTCCATGTTTTTTGTTCTGTGCTCATCCCCCCCAACCCCCCATCCCTCCGCCCTGTTACTTTCCAACCAGCTTCCGTCGTCAGTTCCTTGCGACGAGGCAAGACAACTTTGTTGCAAAGCTTGATTCCCCTTCCAACATATGGGAGGTTGTCTACGAGACCAGTGAGAAGTGTAATACGATGTTTATAGTAACCTCTATGAGATGATGCAGGGAATGTGCCACCTTTCTGTGGGAGAATTGCTCAGAGCCTCAGCACGAAAACGAATACTGACCTTGAAAAAATCATGAAGCAAATGCACTCATTCACTCAAGACATCAGCTGTGTGACATATCTGTTGCTTTCCGAAAGAATGCACCTGCTTCAAGTAAAGCTGGCCCGAGGCGGACGACGCGAAGCGATTAAAACAATCACCGATATCCTTCCTTGGGGTTCCCAAAACCCTATTCGAATAACTAAGGCCCCTAATATAAGGGCCTTAATAATTAGCCTAGACTTTGGGGGCCCTTGATAGTATAATTAATAATCTTGGTAATTCTTTAGGCCCCTATATTAATCCCCAAACCCTAAGCCCTAAACCCTAAACCCTAAACCCTTAACCCATCTTAACCCTAAACCCTAGACCCTATTATTTAAGCCCCTCTTTTTATTGAGGCCCCTACCTTAGCTCTTCCGAGGGGCCAGGTCGAAGCTGCGTGTGTTCATCAGCAGTTTCGGCTGCACGGCCCCGAACTGGCCTGGGCTGGGGATGGATTTTAGCATTTGGGGTTTATAGGGTTTAGGGTTTATAGGGTTTAGGGTTTATAGGGTTTAGGGTTTAGGGTTTAGGGTTTATGGGGTTTAGGGTTTAGGGTTTATAGGGTTTGGGGTTTATAGGGCCTTTAAGGCCATTTAGACTTTGGAGGGTTTAGGGTTACAGCCACCGAAAAACATCGTAGATCAGATCCTCCTACGCCAAATATGAACCCTAGACTCTCGACCCCAAACCCTACATATAAAGGAACCCTAAACCCTAAAGGAACCCTAAACCCTAAAGGAACCCTAAACCCTAGAGGAACCCTAAACCCTAAACCCCCTAATTTGGCGTACCCGGTGGCTCTCGATCAGCCGGGCGCTTGGGTTCAGCTTCTGGAAGATGCCTCAGGTCCACCAAATCCAAAAAAGGGGGGCCTTTAAGGGCTTATAGGGTTTAGGTTTAGGGTTTAGGGGCTTTAAGGGCTTTAAGGGTGTTTAGGGTTTAGAGGCTTTCAGGGTTTTTAGGGTTTTGGGTTTAGGGGTTTAGGGGTTTGTAGGGTTGAGGGCTTCAGGGTTTAAGGTTTGGGGTGTACGGCTGCAGTCCGATTTTCAGGGTTCTTGGTTCTGGCCGGGCACAATTCCACTTAGGGCTCAGAACGGTACGATTGAGGGGCCCAGACACCCTTCAAGCGCTCCAGGTCTTGTGCAGAGACCAGGTCTGTCTTGTTCAAAATGAGCACCTCTAGAAAGGGTTTAGGGTTTAGGGTTTAGGGCTTAGGGTTGATGTTATACAAGGTTTTGTAGGGGGTGTTATAGGAGTTTATCGGGCGTTTGCAGGGATTCTACAGGGCGACATTAAAAAAGTATGAGAGTCGGTTCCGCAGCAGCCCCTTTCTGATGTTGGTACACGTTTTCCTGATAATTCAGGTTTACCAGGGACAACTGACAACGAAGAAGAGAGCAACGTGTGCTACTAGGGATCGAGTCACATTGGCGATCTCGACCTGATCGACCAGCAGATCCACGATGCTTCGTTGGTCGGACTCCTCGGCTCCCAACTCATTTCGATCGATGGCCTTTTCCTGCGAATGGTAGTCCTTGAGGAAGTTCAGGGTTTAGGGTCTAGTCTAGGGTTTAGGGTTTCGCGTTTAGGGAATGGTAGTCCTTGAGGAAGTTCAGACAGTCGATGACAGTCACCAGCGTATCCAGCTCTGCGACGCCACCCAGCATGGGAACTCCAGCGGCATCTGTTGCAGCAAAGGTGGCCGCAACAGGCATGGGTTCAGAGATGCCCGTGCTCTCGATGAGAAGATAGTCGAACCGCCCCTCTAGTGCTAGCGAGCGCACGTTCTCAATCAAGTCTTCCCGCAGGGTACAGCAGATGCAGCCATTGTGGAGCTCAACCATCTTGTCTTTGCTTTCGTGGAACTGAACACTGTCCTGCAGAAGCTGCGCATCGATGTTCACTGATGCCATGTCGTTCACCAAGACGGCCACTCGGATGCCTGCACTATGGCTGAGGCCGTAATCGTAGCAGAGGGAAGCAACAACAGCGACAAAGTGCAGTAAAAACATGCCAGTCAAAAACACGTCGCCAAAAAACGCAGCTATGCCAACCAAGAACTTGATACCTGTACGTATGCAGCAAACCACCACCACCACCAGCACCACCACCACCACCACCACCACCACCACCACCACCACCAAGTGGTTGAGCAAGGAAAGCACAACACGCAAGAAGAAAGGTTCGACGTGTTCGAGTAGAGTCACAAGGATCGTGCCACAGGATGCTAGAATGCCGAAACCACAGGAAACAAGAGAGGTGCAGTCATGCAGTCAAGATCCAACTAAGTTGCTACTGGCCCCCTGGCTCCTCGAAACCTCGAACTACCCTGAAATTCAGAGTGGACGCCTGCAGCCCTACACCAAAGAGGTTTCAAGGGCCTTCGCGATTGTTCAGAACGTGCGTGAGCAGGGTGGTCTTGCCAGCACCCAGGAAGCCACTCAGCAGGGTGACCGGCAGCTTGACCCCACCGGGCCCATCGACATGAACCATGCCTCCGGGTCACTTGGGGCCCCTAAACCCTAAACCCTAAACCCTAAACCCTAAACCCTAAACCCTAAACCGTCACTTGGGGCTGCGAGTCGGTGTAATGTAGGGGCCTTAATAATTAGAATAGGGTTTTAAGGGGTTCCTTCAAAGGGTTCCTTAAAGGGTTCTATAAGGGCTACTCTAAGGGTTTAGGGTTTAGGGGCCTTAATAATTAGAATAGGGCTTTGAGGTTCATGATACTATAATTATACTATAAGTATAATAAGGAACCCCCAAAATAGTCTTGGTAATTATTTAGGCTTCTCTATTAATGTACGGGCCTTAAGAATTAGAATAGGAGCTTTTGGGGCTCCTTTATAGTACCATTATAATAAGGAGCCCTAAGGAATAATATAGCTAATTACTTAGGCTTCTGTAGTAAGAAGGCATCCAATCACCTGCAACATGACCCACAGTATCACAATTAGAAGAGAGTAGATCCCAGATTCATCACTCTCAAACCCGAAGCCCTAAACCTAAAACCCCCAAACCCCAAACCCGTTACAAAAGTGATCCTGACGCTGAAGTGCCCTCAGGGCCTTTGACTTAAACCTTTAACACATTTGCATTCCGATCCTTCCGAAACCCAGAACATTCAACTTAAATCCGAAACACCCTAAACCCTGAGCCCTAAACCCTACGCCCCACCCCACCCCACCCCACCCCACCCCTGAACCCCGAGCTCCAAACCCCGAGCTCCAAACCCTGAGCTCCAAACCCCCCAAAACCTTAAACCCTAAACCCTAAACCCTAAACCAACCCCTCTGAAAAAACCCTAAACCCTAAACCCTAAACCCTAAACCAGCCTAAACCAACCCCTCTGAAGGAACCCTAAACCCTAAACCCTAAACCCTAAACCCTAAACCCTAAACCCTTTTAAACCCCAACCCCTCTGAAGGAACCCGATTCTTGGCACCCCTCGCTGTTGGATCCCCCGCCTCCGTCGTCGGAGGCCGGCAACAGCGGGCTGCCGGTGGCGGGCTTCGGGCTTGAAGGGGCTGATAAAGCTTTAGGTTTTAGGGCTTCGGGTTTAGGGTTTATAGGATTTAGGGTTTTGAGCTTAATTATAGGGTTTATAGGATTTAGGGTTTAGGTTGGAATCTTATAGGGTTTTGAGGAGCTTTTCTAAGGTTCTGCGGGGTTTTGCGGTCTTCCAGGGTTTCTGGAGGGGTTCAACAGCTGGGGGCTCAGGGCTTTATGAAAATCCTATGAGGGTTGGATAAGGGGCTCGGATCAGGGCTTCAGGGTGTCGCAGTCTTTTGGTTTGGGGTTTAGGGCTTTAGGGTTTAGGGTTTAGGGTTTAGGGTTTAGGGTTTAGGGTTGCAAGTTTAACCAGGATCAACAGCTTCCCGCCAAACGCACAAAAACGCAGCCACGGGCCAAGCTTTGGGCCAAGCTGGCGACGGTCGGAGGGAGTTGTCCTTGAGTTGTTGGAGACTGCGTTTTGGAACCGCAGCACCCTTTGTGAACTTGAAACTTGAAACCCCTTGACCCCCTAAAGCCCCCTGTACAACAGGATTGTGATAAACCTCAAACCCCTAACCCTTTGAATGCCACTCTTAACAAACAGTTTCCTGAACCCCTACCCATTAACTGTAGAGTTTCGGCATGTGCTGTCGTGTTTTCTTAAGTCTCTGCAAAGAAGCTTTTGGGTGCTTCTTTTGGAAGGAGCGGCATGCGGTTTAAAGTCAGAGTTTAGGAAAAACGCCTCAGTGTTGGGGCTTAAGGTTTCCGGTTGGTGCTTGGATGCTGCGGCTTCTGGAGTCAAAGGTTTCAGCCTCCCTTCAACAGATATCCTGAAAGCTTCCCGAGACCCTAAAACCCTAAACCCTAAACCCTAAACCCGAAGACCTTGAGCTCTGTAGACTCCAGACAGCAGTATCCAGGGATGCAGCCGGAAGCACAAACTTATTCGGCTTTGTTGGGAAGTTAAGGAACCATGCAACTGACATACAGAAGATACTAAACTGTGACTAAACCGTAACCCCGTCACAAAGCAACCCCACATCCTAAACCCTAAACCTTACTTTCCTTATGGTGATAACTTAGACCATAAATCCCTTCAAAAAAGCCAAAATCGAGCTTGGGAGTACCCTAATGACTTGCAAACCCTAAACCCCAACCCGAAACCCGAAACCCTAAACCCAAAGCCCAAAACTGAAAACCCGATCTAAGGTACTGTAGGGGCCTTAATATTTAGAATAGGGTTTTGGGTATATACTACTATAAATATAATAAGGAACCCCCCAAAATAGTATTGGTAATTATTATGGCCCCTATACTACCCTAAACCCTAAACCCCAAACCCTAAACCCTAAACCCAATAAACGCTAAACTCTAAACCCAATAAAGCTCTAAGGCCGGCTAAGGCGGTTTATGTGGGAAGTCTGCCATGCCACTACAAGACATGGGTTTAGGGTTTAGGGTTTAGGGTTTAGGGTTTAGGGCGGTTTAGGGTTCTATTCACTGAGACCCCATTTTAAACCTTCTCAAGACCTATAAACCCTAAACCCTAAACCCTAAAAAACTCTTAAACCTAGATCACCTCCCGAGCTGAGGCCACGTCTCCGCCCTCGGCCCTGTGCTGCAGCTTGTGGTCTTCATCACCTGCTCATCGATTAATTTGAGTCTTAGAGTTTCGGGTTTCGGGTTTAGGGTTTAGGGTTTAGGGTTTGGGGTTTAGGGTTTCGGGTATAGGGTTTCGGGTTTAGGGCTTGGGGTTTGGGGTTGTCTTTGAGCTCCTTTTTCCGACTGCTGTCCCTGAAAGGGCCCGCGAGACGGTCCCGGGACCCGGAACGCCGGTTACCCACGAAATTCGAGCAGCTCCACCAAAGCGCACGGTTTGTTTAGGGTCTAGGGTCTAGGGTCTAGGGTTTAGGGTTTAGGGTTTAGGGGGGACAACCTCGCATGCCGCACCCCAAACATCAACCCTGACGCACATCCATGCACCTTGCTCAGTCCCGGATGTCGTGGGTGGTCTCGGTGACGAACCACGACCAACACTCACCAGCAGAACGGCAACGCAGTATCCATAGACCCGGGAAACCTGCGCCATATCCGAACAGACACTTCAGTTTTGGAGTTGACAGGGACCCTAAAAGTTCGGCCGAGCCAAAGCCCACTATGGCTTGCTGGTGGTGCTGCTGAACTCCAAACCATGATCCACCTCGCTCACGGCCTGCTCCTGCTCCTTTTCAGAGGCTGCCTCTCGCTCGTCACTGTCACCCTGCTCGATGTCGACATCCGCCCCACTGCAGGCTGATGCAATGCAAGCCACGAGCCCGGGTGGACCTGGATGTGGGGCTTAAGTCGACAGCTCCTCTCAAAACACCATGCACGGGACGGGTCGGTGACAAGCTCAGCGGGCGGACCGTCCTCCACATAAGAGGGCGTCCGCGAGAGCCACCCATAGCTTGCGGGGCTTGGGGTTTAGGGCTCAGGGCTTAGGCTTTTGGTTTAGAGATTAAGGCTCAGGAATTCGGGTTTAGGTCTTACATCTTTGCATCCTTCACACCCAGCTTCCGTATAACCTCATGCTACGCTTCTTCTAGCTAGCAGCTAGTATTGTTACTGTACTTATCATCGCCCTGGCAGCTGTTGCTATGACACCTCTGAGTGCTCTGACCACTTTGGCGATGACAGGCGGGTTACCATTGCACGACCGGTAATAGTAACTGTAAACCCTAAACCCTAAACCCTAAATCTCTGACTACTTGTCGTGCACATTTACGGTGTTCACCGCTACGCAGTCTGCTCTTTACCTCGCTCTTGTGGCAGACCTCCGGCTGAAAATCGAAAGCCGCGCAAACAAGAGCTTATTATAGCAGATTGTAGTATACTAGACGATTTAGAGTTTAGGGTTTAGGGTTTAGGGTTTGGGGAGTAAACATCATAGTATATCCCAGCACATTGTAGTGTAGATCAAATATGAGCGCAATTAGAAATAAAGCGATTGATCAAACCCAGCAAGCCCCACACATCGCACACCCGAAACCCAAGTCCCAAACCCTCTCGCAGCTGCATGGGTAGTTGTAAGTACGAGGGTAAAGCTTCGCACCTTCACTATGTTGTAAGCAGTTATGGCTGTCGTTATTGTCCCTGAACCCTGAAGCCTAAACTAAAACCGAAACCCTAAACACCCTAAACCCCTAAAACCCCAAACCCCGAAACCCTAAACACCCTAAATGGTCTAAAAACTAAACCCTAAAGAATCTCAAAACAGTCTAAAAACTAAACCCTAAACCCCAAAACCCCGCAACCTCGCCGAGCCCGACCTGGAAGGATGGGGCGGGCATGTCGCCCAGCTTGGCAGTGACGGCCGTGGAGAGGGCCGCTGGTCCCAGCCTGCTTGGAGGGCTTTTAGGGCCTTGGGCTTTTAGGGTTT